TTTGATGTCTATACCTCAAGAACACGACTACATAGGCTTATCCGAGCCTCTATCCCTCGAACAATCCTCCGAGAAAAAGAATGGCCTGAATCTAAAAGAAACCGAGCTGAGGCTCGGGTTGCCAGGCTCGGAGTCCCCTGAGAGGTGGGCTGGGCCTGGGGTTTCCATTTTCGGGAAGGATTTGAAGGATGATAACAATGGCGGAAATGGGTTTTCGAAGAATCTTGTTACCGGCGCAAAGAGGGTTTTTTCTGATTCAATCGGTGGTTCTGTGAAGTGGGGTTTGGGTATTAATGGCGGATCTGAGGGTAATTTGGGTATTAGTGTTGGTGGAGATTGCAAGGGCAAGAACAGTTTGCCTATGAGTTCTGTGAAGGAGATTGTTCCTCCTGTGAAGAAGCCTGTTGAGGAGAAGAAGAGTGGAAATTGCAATAATGCCCCTGCTGCAAAGTGAGCTCTCTCTATTTTTATTTTTTATTTTTTTTCTTTCTTCAAGATAATATTGTCTTCATTTTTATTGTACAAATTTTTGTATTTCTGGTGTATCTTGTGAATCACTGAATTGTGATTGTGTTTGTAACTTCACTGTAGTTAAAAATTCCCAACTGGTTGGGGTCTAGGAGTCAGTTGTACGCAGACCTTACCGTTGTAATTATACAAGAAGGTTGTTTCCGTAGCGAAACAAGGTGCATTGCGTCGTTTGGTATATTTTTTTTCTAGGAACTTCACTAATAGAAGAACCACTAGAATTTAATTGAGCCATTTTGATCTAGTCCATTATTAGCACTATGCTAGGAGAATTGTCAACAATGACTCTTCCAACCCCATTTGCAATGGACAATGTAACTTCACTGTAGTTGATTCTTGATAAACCTTTTATAGTTGGAGTTGAATTATTGACATGCTTTTATTGATTTATTTTCTGAATTATGCAAATTGTGTATAAAAGTTTGTGTCTCATATCTTAATGGAAGTGGTGTTATTGCATTGGGTTGATTGACTTGGCTTGTTTTTGGTAATTTTAATTAAGAAACTATATTTGTCATGAACTTGTTTTGCAGAGCACAAGTAGTTGGATGGCCACCAATTAGATCTTTCCGGAAGAATACCCTCGCCACCAATTTACCGAAAAACGACGAGCTCGGTAAAAAATCATCAGGACCGGTTTGCCTGTACGTGAAGGTCAGCATGGATGGTGCCCCTTATCTGAGGAAGATTGATCTCAAAACTTATAGCAGCTATCCCGAACTTTCATCCGCTCTCGGGAAGATGTTTAGCTGTTTCACCATAGGTAAAACGCAATCAAGTAAAAAAAAAGTCGTTACGGTTAAAAAAAAATGTCCATTTATCTTCCAAGGTTATGTGAAAACACTAGCTCAAAGGATAGTTGATGCATTTCTTGATTTAACTGAATCTCTCTCGTTTTTTTTTCTTTAGTTGGTTTTTCTAGTTCAAAAAGTTAGATTCGCCCGAACATTTTGTTATAACTCTTGCATAACTGTTGTGCAGAGCAATGTGCTGGGCAAGGACAGCTAAGCGAGAGTCGTTTAATGGATTTGCTTAATGGTTCCGAGTATGTGCTGACTTATGAAGACAAGGACGGTGATTGGATGCTCGTTGGGGATGTTCCTTGGGAGTATGTTCTAAACCTATAATACGTTTTTATGCTTTTGCTCGATTATGTTATTATTAAATGTCGCGTTAAGATGAAGGCTTTGGCTATGTTTGGTAGACAAATAAGCCAACTTATATTTTATTTGTTAAGCTTATAAGCTTTCTATAGAATAAGTTTTGTTTGGTAGCACCAGTTTTTTTAAAAAAACTCGAGTTTATCTCATAAGCTTTGTTTGGGTAGTTTTTCAAACAAGCTCGTTGAAATTTTTATTTCAGCTAGCTTATCAGTTAATTTTACCAAACATTTTTATCATATAAGTTAGTTTTTCAGCTATAAGTCATAAGCTATATGCTTGAAAATCACTTATAAGTTATCAACTAGTTTTACCAAACATGACCTTAATAGTATTTAACTTGAATACAAGAAAATAATTCTACATATTTTTTGAGTTTTCACGTACACCCTTGATTTTTGTCTTTGTTTTACAAAATGTTCGATCAATATGTGTATTAATGAAGTAGAAACATGCATATTAGGGGTTATGTGTAAATATAAAAAGATAGCTTCTTTTTAGTTTTTAAGACCTATCTAAGGGATCATATTTGGGGGTAATTTCGTAGCGATACTAATGGCTGAATTGACTTGTTAAACCGATACAATTGGACAAGATAGTTATAATCTAATTTCGACTTGTATTTAAGGCTCTTTGCATCTGATTTTCTCCTCGTGAAATGTTGTTAAAAGTATTTTTTATTCACGGCATTCTTTCCTCAGAATGTTCATGGATTCATGCAAGAGATTGAGGATTATGAAAGGCTCTGATGCAATTGGGTTAGGTAAGTTTAGAACTAACTCCTATTCAAGAACCGAACAAGAAAAGGTTGCACATAAAATATCCTGGGAGTATTTTCTGTGACGTCTTTTTTTTTTACTAGCCTAAATGTGTGTATAATTGCATTACATTCTCCGGCTTGCAGCTCCAAGAACCATGCAGAAGTGCCGGAGCGAAAACTAGGGCTGAGCTCGATATGGATTCATGGGGATTTACAAAAATCGACAAAAACAATTATCTTATATTATTCTCTTTTCTTATTGTGACTAGGTTTTATTAGATCTGTTACTTTAGTAACTTAGTATGGCATGAAAAATGTTCTGACAATGATGTGTGCTGAATTTGTATTTGCCTAATGGAAGATTGTTATGTAAATGGAGTTGTTGTGGTAATCCATGTTTTAAATACCGGTTCGTACCGGCCGGTATTACCGGTAATACTGGATACCGGTGGTCCGACCGGTACATTTACACTCAAAATACTGTTTTGGCCAAAATACCGGTTTCGTACCGAAAAATACCGGTTTTACTGGCAAATACCGGCCAAAATACCGGTCAGAATACCGGTTCATGCCATTTTTTTTTTAAAAAAAATATTTTTAATAGATTTTTTATTATTTTATTTATATAAATTGAAATTTCTACACTAACTTTAATATGTTTATATTGTTATTAGATGTTAATTTATTTTAGTATTAATTAAAGTTAGTTTTGTATATTATTTATATAATAATAACAAATTAATTTAATATTTATTAAAACCGGTAAAATAGACGGTAATACTGGTTGTACCGGTAATACTGCATACCGATCGCTACACCGGTATGACGAGCGTACAATTTTTAAAACATTGGTGGTAATATGAGATTGTGTTGTGTTGTCCAAAATTTCTGGATGATGATCAGTTTAATTATCATTTTCAAATTTTGTAAACCATTTGTGATTGATGTTTGTACCAGTTTGAATTTATTTTATAAAACCATACTGGTCATCGAGTTAGTTGAGTTACTAATTTAATTGTTTACTAGTCGAACAAGTGGTTGAAATTGATTGGACCTATATTTAATTAAAT